CTGGAAGAAACGGCAGCAAATGTCTCACCAATTAGTATTTGCAATTTCTTCTATGGAGCTAATCACTCGGCCATCTTTTTCCAAAAAGGAAAGTGAGTGGTCTTTATACATTCCGCATGCTTTTCGAACTCTTTCCCAAACCCGCTTACTAGGCGTAGAGGATGTTATTGAGGACACATATGAAATCCAGGAATCCCTCTGGCTCTGCCTTCTTACTTTCCGTGCATTTGCTTTGGCTCTTTTAAAAGCTATGAGGTTTCGCAGAGTAGGATATCTACGAAAAATACCCCATGCTTTTTTCTGTTTTTTCAGTGCTTCATGACAGTCGCGATTCCACCATGGTTTTCGAATATTTTTAGTATTTTTCCTGATGTTCTAGGAATCGAAAGCATAGCTGCCTGAATAATAGTATTAGTAACAGCTTCAACAGCGTCATCGATATGCACATCTTCTACCATTTCCTCTGTCAGCTCTGCAACGGAAGAGAAGAGTTCCCAGTCTGCCCTGTCCAGGTATAAATCGAGGGGACTCTCGACATGGGGTTTGCTCCTCTTCGTGCAAGAGACACAAAAATAGGATAATGATCGCTGTTGTACAGGTCATTTCCGACACTAAAAGTGCAAAATGGCAACAGAGATGGTGAACAGATGGCAAGGATCGAGAGCGTGGAATGTCCTTGAAGGCTCATGGAAGTAAGTATCTCTGCCCATTATTTAGGAGACAAAGGCTATGATCTTCGATCATCTGCTCAATTTGTCTTCCTCGGCAATTTGTATCTTTACTACCCCAGAGTGGACTATGGCCGTTAAAATCTCCTATTATGATAAAAGGCTCAGGCAGCTGCTCTATTAGATTATTTAAATCTTGCTGATAAATGTGCTCATTTGGAGGCAAATACAAAGAAACAAACTGAAACAACAATATCAAAATTTATTTGAGTAGCGACAACTTGGAGGGATGTCGTCAAAGGAAGTACATTTGAGGGATAATCCAGTGAGGAGAGGAGACCTACACCTCCACTGGCACGCTCACCTGCAATGTTATCCTTCCTGACGAAAGAAAACCTCCGAAGTTTTGCATGGTTGTTCTGGTTTCAAGATTTGTTTCCTGTATTGCGAAGCACACAGGATGATACACATTTATTATAGCTTTGATGTCAAGCAAATTTCGGTGGAAACCGCGACAGTTCCATGACATGAGGGTGGCCATTATGAATGGTTTTTGTTTTTCCTGTGCTGTTCTTTTGTTTTTCGTGGAAGTAGATGCCTGGGAACTTCCTAGACCCTCTTCTACTTCCATAAAGTCTGAATCCGCAGATTCAGAAATCATCTCATCAAAGAGAGCTATTGCTGTGACTTCTATTTTTATTGATATTTTTGTGTGGCAGTTTTGGGCTTACTTTGAATAACTGTTTCTTTTTTTTTGTACTATATGGGTTGCATTTTCTTTTTCTTGTTGGATGTAGACGGTTGGGTTTTATTTGGCTAGGGTCTGTGTGCCTATTGATGTTTGGGTGGCGACTGTACGAGATGATTTTAACAGCACTGGCGTATGATGTATTTGGTCGAAGCTGTGTGCTCTGGACTAAGTCTTCTGGCTTCGGCATATGAGATGTTCCTCGTAACTTTTGCAGTCTGCACTTCTTTTTCCGATTTCCATTTTGGGCACAAGCGTGAAAATGCTGGGTGGCTCACCCTTGCAATTTATACAAAAGGCGCAGCGGTACAATTTATCAGAATCGTGGCCAATCTGTGAGCATCGGGCGCATGTGAGGCTGCCACGACAAGACGTCTTAGAATGGCCGAAACGCTGGCATTGGAAACATCGCATAGGGTTTGGAATATAAGGTCTTACAGGAATATTTAGATATCCGGCCTTAATATTCTTAGGCAGATCAGGCGTGTTGAAGGTAAGGATCACGTGTTTCGTGTCTATCAACTTACCTTCTTTACGCATCTTGATCCGCCTTACACCGCAGACATTTTGGTTCGGATAGCTCAGAAGCGATCTCTTCTTCAGAAACATACAGAAGGTCGAATTCTGAGATTACACCCCGACAATAGTTCAGTGACTTATGTGGTGTTACAGTGACATTCGCTTGCCCAAGTTTAGTTATCTGAAGTAAAGAAGCAGACTGGGTGGCTGAGTTTGTATCAATAAGCAAGTCTCCGGAGCGGAGACGCTTTATATTTCTCGGCTCACCAATACAAGACTGGATGTATTTGTTTATTACGAAAGGAGACATCTTATGCATTTCGCCAGAAGGACTAGAGATGACTAGGAAACGGGGACTATTGTTATGATTTTTTTATTTGCATCTGTCCGTAATTTTTTTGCAGAATTTTCAGAACTAGGTTGAGCGACAGGTTGAGTGACTGGTTTAGTAGTAGACGTTTCAGAACTAGGTTGAATGATTGGTTTATTAGTAGATGTTCAGAACTAGGTTGAGTGACTGGTTTAGTAGATGTTTCAGAACTAGGTTGAGTGACTGGTTTAGTAGTAGATGTTTCAGAACTAGGTTGAGAGACTGGAGTGACTTCAAAGTTTTTTAATAAAAAAAAATATGTGTATTTAGCCATATTGAAAAATAGAAAAAGATTCGGGTCCGACGGCCCCGCCCACCACGGAGCCCAACAAGGGAACACAGATTCCTGTGTTAGGGCTAGCCGGACCTATACGCAAACTGAAGCCCCACAGTCGGCTTTCCCGAAAGCAGGTACTCCCGAGAGCTTGACCCCAAGCCACTGACACAAGGACTAGTGACCAGCCGATTGACACCCGTGAGGACGACTAAGGTGCCTCCCGTTTAGCTGAAGCAGAGGCCAAAGCAGTGTGTTGGGGACAGTACCTCGCCCCTCAACTACCAGGACCCTCCTTTCCAGCGACACGGGTCTCCACGCACGGCAAACACGTGGGCAGTTTTCTCGCCACTCGAAAACTAGAGACAAGGTCTGTTCCAGTCTCTCGTGACGAGCCCCAAACTCCGTAGAGAGAAACCACGAGGGAGAAGAGAAGGGAAAAAGTTCCAGCCAAGAGGAGAGGAGACGGAAAAGAGGATAGATCACTGGGGCTCCAGGATCGTGACACCCGTCTCACCAAGAAGATGATCCCCTGAAGGGCTAGGGTACCTCGGGATTGCCACACCCGTACTCACAGAAGTGAGCCCCCTGAGGGGTATGTTAGGAAAAGAAACACAAAATTCCTTTGTTGCCCATTTTATTTCTATCGCAGCCAAATTATTCAAAAAATATCTTTCGTTGGGGAAGTAGATTTTCTAGAGGTGTTTCACATTCATAAAAATGTTCTAGTTGACGATCCCAATTCCAATCTATTTTCATCCTCCGCTTCCTCCCCGGGGGGGGTCGAGTAGAGAAATCTGCGAAGCTACTGGCTAGGATCTGTATCTAGGCAACCTAGGCCACGAGGGTATAAAATTTATGAACTTGGTGGTTCTGAAGGCCTCGGAAAGGTCACTCATTGGTCGGCCTGGTGGTCTGGCAAGTCCTAAATCGGTGTGGCACTAGTAGCCCGGGGGAGGGGGTAGCGCCCTCGGGTTCTCTGGGTAATGTCAAACTACGACGGGCAGCCCAAGCGACTGGAAGGTAGCAAATCGACGACCAGTGCTGTCTGGGGAACGTGTCCCAGGCGGTGCGTCCCTTTCTCCAAGCTGCGAGGGCGGAGGTTGAACCTCTGTGCCTGCTTCTGAGGGGAGAGGGAACCTGTAGTGTGGTTCATTCTTCATATGAAGGTATTGTTCAAGATTTATTCACTATACATTTATTATAGACACAGATATTTAAATATTAATTAAATCCTAAATATTTTTTCATTATTAAAAGGAAGACATGTCCGACTGAGTAGGATTGTTTTGCTTTAAAATATTCAGGGAAGTCAATATCAGGGGCAGGGAAGTCAGTATCTTACCTACTGAGAAAAGACTGGGGGGGGGGGGACTGGGGGGGGGAGTGAGAATGAAAGAAAAAATATATGCCAATATTTAACGCTGCATTGGGAATTCTAAACGTATACAGCTTGCTGCTTTTAAAATTTCTCTTATTTTGCTGTTGAATTGTATATGGCGTAAATGTGAAGAAAATTATGCCTATTAATAAAGATTAAAAAAAGAAAAAAAAAGGGTTAGTAGCAGTGAGTATAAGCAGACTGTTAGACTGCGAGAGCGTAAAGAACCTTAACAAACCTTTTTGGTCAACCGTTAAACTCTGAAACCTTTCAGAATTTTATAAAATTAAAATATTTTTAGTGTTTTAATACGCTTATTAAGTTATTGGAAATTCTAGAGATATGCTGTTTTTAGCACAATGTGGCGTTAGCCAAGATGCTTTCGAAATATGTATGTGTCTGTAAATGAAAAATCTCCCGTTTGGGCGTAATATAAAATCTGAACGCTTTCAGATTTTACTTTTTTTTTTGTCTTTTTATTATTAACGTTTTATGCGTTTATTTTATTTATTAAATATCATGTTATTTGCGCTTGCGCCATATAAAATTCGATTTAACAGCAAAATCGCAAAATATTTAAAAGCAGCACATCTTTAGAATTTTTGAAATATTTTAGAAAATAACATAACAAATATTTGCTTTACATGTTTCTTAAATTAAAATTTACTATGTTACTTTTCAAATAAAATCATTTAGAATAGTGTAGTAGCATTAGGTGAAGTATTTAGTATTGTGAGAGAACGTAAAATGAGAGAAAAATAATAAAATTAAAATTGAAAATATTGAGCGAGTGATTGAGTGAGAAAGTGAGCAAGACATTCAGTAAGAGAAAATTAAACTAAATAAAATACAAATAAATTAAACCAAATACATTGCCACTGCATCCGAAAAGATTACGAATCCAAATTTGAAGAAGCCAATAGAATTAAGTTCAAATAATAAATGCCTCTTGATATTTCCACTTACTGTTTTTATTTCTCATATTACTGATTAATAAATATTGTCATACATGTCTAAACAGATCTTAACTTATACTTTAGGAATGTGGATCTGACATCCAGTACTTAATAAGTTCGAGAGTGGATAAAGAACAAAGCAGGAAGTGTCACCGGTACATAAGAAAGTTATTTCAAGATTAGGATTATGAAGGTGGTCATCTGTGAACAATTCATAATCTTGGTTAATGGACTTAATGATGTACTAGACGAAAAATAAAAACTCGATAAAAGAGAGTTGCAAATTTTCTGTATTTTATTTCACACAGATTTTACATATTTAACAGTAAGAACTTTGGGATCATCGACAGGTGTAAAGGGATGACGTAAAAGACTAAGACTTGCAAGAAATAATTGCTTTACTATAATTTTTTTAACTACTATTCTTTAATAAAAATTATTTGTTTCATTACAGCGTAACCTCTTTGAAATTTGATTTAAGGGAAAAAAATCACGTTAAAGAAAGAAAATCCTTAAAAAAGTAAGCAACAGAAATTAGCTTAGCAGTAGTATATAACGGGGAGCGTAATCAAAGAACGTCTAAAGAGCAATGCAATATTTTTTGGCGTAATGGCAGATCAGACATTGAGTTGATCAGTGTTAAGCGAATTTCGCTTACTGCGGATGCTCGATAGTGAATATTAGGGACATATAATGTTTAAATAATTCAAGTTTGGGCGAGGGAAACTATTTAAAATGCCTCCTTTTTTTGGGGGGGAGGGGTGCCATAACTACTCATGGGTTATAGATTTCACCCATATAATTTCATAAGTAATCGCATTTAAAGATTAATTTTTTAACACACGCAGATTGTATTCATTCTTCATACGAAGATATTGTTCAAGATTTATTCACTATATATTTATTATACACACATATTCAAATACTAATTAAATCCTAAAAAAAATGTCATTATTAAAAGAAAGAAAATTTGAAATGTCCGACTGCGTAGGATTGTTTTGCTTTAAAATACATCGCCCACAAGCGGCCCAGCGGTAAAGTCGCTGAACACTGGTAGTTCGGTCCGAGGTTCGAATCCCGCGAACGGGCTGGCTGCATGGGCGTTTTCGTGGTTTTCCCCATGTGTAACGTGTATACGAGCCAGTTTCCCTTAGAAAGTCCTCCACGAAAGGCATCCCTCCCCTTAGGCAGATAGCCCTAGTGTGCTTTGCCGTATTCTCAATACACACACACCCACACTTTAAAATACATCACTGTTGTGTTATTTTCAAATTCATTACCAAAGCATGATTTAAATAAACTCAAGCTGGGTGTTGCGGAGAAGTAGCACTGAATGGTAAAAAAAAAAAAAAAAAAAAAAAAAAAAAAAAAAAAAGTTCATTAAAATTCAAATACAGTAATTCAATTATATAACATAGACATAGTTATAGAAATATAATTAATATGTATAAAAAACAATTATTGTATGAAATGCATAATAGACCAAAGAATGAAAATATGTGCATTCTAACCCCACGCCACCTAGCAGCCGCCGGGAAAGAAACCGGCCAAAAAAAGACAATAGCCTTCAGTCGGTGTACTGGAGTCACGAACTTAGCATGGTGTTACCCGAGATTTATTTTGTAACTTAAATGTGTAATTCTAACGCCTTCAGATGTAATGTTTTATTTTTCTTCATTGTGTTTTGTTAATTAAAACAATTAGAAAGCCCAGGTGAGTCTTTTGTTTATGGTAGTTTGGTTAAAGTTGACCACCAATCGCGCGTTTCGAACGATTTATCCAGTGTAGAAAAAAAAACATGTTCAAGACTCCAGGACATCGACTCATATTCCTTTCCAGGTTTTAGGTACTACTTCCTCCAGCGAAGCCTCACCCGAAGATTATTTTGGAAATTGCATAAAATATCGGTTTCATGTTCACCCAATGATTAATTTGGAAATCGCATGAAATATCGGTTTCATCTTTACCCGAAGATAACAGATTAGATAAGATATTTTCACTTAATAAGCAATATAAAATTCTAACTATAACCTCGCTAATACTTTAATAATATGGAATGGAATGTGTAGTTAAAAACGAAACAAAATCATTTATAAAGTATAATAAGCTCTAGATGTTTCTTTTTAGATATGTTGCACTTTAAGAATTTACTACAAGAAAATACTAAAGTAAGGTGACCAGACGTCCCGATTTAGGTGGGACAATCCGGATTTCAGACTTCATGTCCCGTTTCAAATACTCAACATCACAGATAAAATATCACACCAATATTTGGAGTGCAAAATAATTTATTTCTAATATTTTAAATTTCATTTTTATAACAATTCATATTTAAACATGAAATCAAATTCCTCAGCCCAGAACTCATGCTACAAAAGTCTTGTGTTATCAGTCAGATTTATTTATTACAGTAAGTCAAATATGCTAGGGGCCCATACAGTTGATTTTTTAAAAGTGGGATTTCAAATGTATCCTACTGCTTGGGTTAAATATCAAGAGGGAATGTTCCTCAATACTAGGGCATAAAGTCCATATTAGGATAATTTATGGAACACAGGATGGACGTGTTTCAAATAAGTGTTACATACCATTATAAAGTTAAAAAAGACCACAACCTTAAATTAAATGAAGAGGTTTGTTGCTAGGTTTAGTGAATCAATGAAATATTATTATTATTGCAAAAGGGACATATTGCTCACGCCTCAGATAAATATGAACTTCGTTAAGTCAACATATAGGCTACAGAGACAGTAAGTATAGTCCTAAAGCTCCTAACAATATTTCATTTTTTGGTATTGCTGAACAGATCGAGTTTTAAAATAAAACAGTTAAGTGACCGAGATGGATCCATAAATAACTGTAGTCTAAAGCGAACAATCCCTTTCTATATAATGCATTGTATCTCCAATAAGTGCAAACGAATCCTGAAGAACATGAGGTGTTTGCCGAGACTGGTTAAAATATTTAGTGTTTTAGACACTTCTTTCTCATGTGATCAAACATGTAGAAAGGCAGGTCAATTTTCGGTCGATACGTCAGTTGCTACAAAAGCTGGAGCTCTTGCGTATTGGTATTAATTGTCCATTCAGATATAACAATTCAAAGGCTCAGGATGGAGACCTTTTCAAGCTATCCTTAATCTGGAATAAAGTTACTGGACATGAATTGACATTTAACACGATCATGACTGATGATTCATTCCTTTGAGAACTTCTTTAAGCTCCACATGGAAAAACACAAGATTTTTACTTTGCCAGTTTCATGAATTGCAGGCAGTATGGCGATGAGTTTGTTCATCAAATAATTGCATAGATAAAAATCACAGAAAATATATGGTGAACTGTGTAAAACAAATGATGTATGCAACTGTTATGGAATCTTTTGAAAGCATTAAAAAACATTTTTTGTGATATAAACATATTAATGTATCCACAGTTTTGCAACTATTTAATGTCACTATGTGATAAATCTGCTGATTGGTGCTTCATCTTCAGAAAAAATATAATTAATAGAGGAAACAACACGAATAATTTTGCTGAAGCATCTTTCAGAATTTTGAAAGACATAATATTAACATGCATTAAGGCATATAATGCTATAGAATTGTTAAAATTTCTTAGCATATGACCTGGAACTTTACTTTCGAAATAGACTCCTTGACCATGCGCTTTGTAAAAAAACAAAACAAATCATTAATTCTGCAGAAATACTTAAATTAATCTTCTGCTGTTTCTCAAGACATGATCTTCAAAGAAGATGAAAATACATATCATGTGAAATCTAGCTCAAGTGAGCAACGTTATACAGTCGATGCAGCTGTTGGAATTTGTTCTTATCCAAATGGATCACAAGGTCATTTTTGCAAACATCAAGCTGCAGTATGCATGCATTATGATATCAAATTTATAAACTTCCCTGCTACTACTAGTGATGACAAATACCTATTTTATAAAATTGCAGTAGATAATGGCAATATAGGTAGCACTTTTTTTCAACCAATATGCAGTGAAAATATTCATGAAGAAAAATGTCAGTCTGATAAAGCTGTAGAACAAATGGAGAAACCAAACTTGAATGCAGAGTGTCATGGAGATAATTTGCCTCAAATGGAACACTGTCAATCAACCTGCGATATGTCAGAAAATGAAGTTAATGATACTGAGAATTCTGTAAATGTGTGTAATATAAAAGTTAACAATGAACAAACTAATTTAATTGAAGGTTTCTGCCAAAAAATAAAAAATATTTTGCAAGAAAATACTGATAATAATTACTTAATGAAATGCTTAAAAAAATTTATACAAAGCAATGAAAATGTTAATGATGCAAGTATCTTGCTTAATTTTTTTGAAAGCAACAAAAAATTCAGTTACAGATCAAGAAGGCTAATTAAAGTACAGCCAAATTCTATTTCAAGACGTAAGGAAGGACGTCGCAGAGGAGCAAAAATATTATCATCAGGAAGACCTCTTAAAACTCTTGTATCAAAAATAAAAAAATAAATAAAAAAAACAGAAAAGGTGCTTGAGTGCTGCAGTTACTATGAACGTACCTAATGCAAAAAGTCATGGTAGTAACCATTAACGCTTTGTTATTTGTATTTCAACTAGAGAAATTATTCATTTTTGTATTCTTATTTTGTAATTTCCTTCCAAAAATAAAATTTATTCCTGGATAATTGGGAAATTATTGAGATGATTAACAGTGAAGTTTTGTTACAGGGAAAAAATTAAATTGTTAGGACTAATGATACTCCTCTGTTATCGGAACCTGATTAAAAAATGTATGTATGCATATATGTGTGTATGTACATACATACATGTATGTACATATGTATTTGTGCACACACACACATGTACGTGCATACATTTCTGAATCCAGTCCTGATAACAGAAGAGTATCGAAATAATAAATTGTTTTACAATGCTAAAAATACAATGACATTTATTTGATGGCATTGAATTTATAGATGAACACAATTTTTCTAGGTATTTCTATTCAAGATCATGCAATATATATTATTTATAGCTTTCAATGAAGACGTTTTAGCAGTCCCACAATTCCTAATTTGAGTGAGTGAGTGAGAGATTATGGCGCAAAACCAAAGATGATTATAGTGCGCCAAAACGAGATGGGGTGAGTACAATTGATGACATTGAATACATAAATAAAAACAAGTAGACAAATGTATCAAATCCAGAGATGAAGTCAATAAGCACAAGTTAAAACCACACATTTAAAATTCAAGATACAATCTTTAAAACAAATTACATTAG